AAAAAGTGACACTATAGAAATTATCTCATTGTTCTTAAGCCGCTCTTAAACGCGCGTGATTACACGTCTGGGAATTTAATGAACTTGTATTTACATTTAAGCATTTTAAAACGTTTTCGCTTTGTCCAAATATTTTAACGCCCGAGTCAAGCAAAACGATTACACTAATAAACGGTTTGCTTTTTTATTTTAAATTCCAGAAGCAGAAGTTTATGCACTTGTGGGATCAACTTAGTGCTCGGGCATTCAAATTATAACAATAGGATAATTTCTATAGTGTCACTTTTTTTTGGGACACCCTGTATAAAACAAACGTTACGCAACTGCCGATGTTATGGCAACAATGACGTTTCAAGATGGCGGATATTTTGGCTTTAAAGTAATTTAACTCGTAAACGACATTGCTGACCCCCAAATTTTATTTATAAAAATGATTTCTCTTAGTATCGTCAATTATTTTGACAATTTAAAAAAATTCTGTGGAATCGAAATTTCTTAAATTACGTAAATGTGATTATTCATAATGTTTTTTTGGCTCCACAGAATTTTTTAAATTAATTGTCAAAATAATTGATTATACTAAGAGAAATCAATTTTTAAAGTAAAATTGGGGGGTCACCGATGTCATTTACGAGTTAAATTACTGTACTAAACGAAAATATCCGCCATCTTGAAACGTCATTGTTGCCATAACATCGGCAGTTGCGTAACTTTTGTGCAAAAGTTCACACTTTTTAGATGTTGTTTTAATTATCAACAAGTAATAATTGTCCAAAAATACCATCTAAATCGCGAATTTTTCATATTTTTTTTTAAATATATTGAGCCACGTACCTTAACGTCTATCACAACAAGCGCAGAGACAGTTTCATGCCTGTAGTGAAATGATTTGTTCGGGCCCCTGGAACGCTATTCAAAACTAACACAAAGAGACTTTCATCAGGCCATATTTCAGTGCACATTCATGGCCGAATTAGACTAAATAACCTCATTATAATCTCATTAATTGCCCTACGTCGTGTCATTACTGAAAGAGTGTCACTAACTCTTGCAAAAAATGCCAGTGGTTGCTGAAATCACATTTTGCTTTAATTTGCGCGCACAACAGCAGTCATGACCGATTTTGCTGTTGTATATGCGTGTACAGTAGAAAGTTAAAAATAAAATATTTCGATCTGACAAAATTAGGCGACTACAAAATGCCTTTTTGTGGTTGTAACTTTTCTTTAAAACTTGTCCTAATGTACGTAAAATAGCGTTCTAATGCATCTAGAAATCAGTCAAAATTTTCCGGTGGGAGCATGGCCCGGACCCCCTAGAATCCTCGCACCTTTAGCGCTCGCAATCGAAATGCCATAATAATCCTCCCCCCCAAGAAAAATATTTAGTATTGTGTCTTTTGTACCACGGCAGTGCCGACGGAAGTGAGGGTGGAAGATAAGTCCCAGCCCCCCCCCCCAAAAAAAAAAAAAAAAAATTATCAGAGCAAAATTTCTAAACAGGAAAACTCGACGTAAAATTTGGACAAATTCCGCCATTGAATCCGAGAGAATTTTATGAGAAGATTTTATGAGGTCCTTTCAAAATATCGAGAGAGAATACCCAAGTAATGTAAGGGGGTGGGGGCAGGGAAAGGGTAGAACCGGTGGAAAAGCAGAAACAATATCGTCAATTTAAATAAATCCTTCATTTCTGGCCTATATGACACGTACCATATACTTTGGAAGAGCTAAGGATAAGACAACTCCTATTCTTAGAGTATAAACGTGATTACTCGTGTTTGAACACCTTAGCTTGCAGGATTATAAGATCACGTGAAAAACTTGAAGTACCCGGCAGACCTCACTGACATAAGAAAGGTGAGTGCGAGATAGTAGAGGCGACGGAAACGATTACCCGCCATTTAGGTGCAGTTTTATGCCGAGAAAACCAGAAGTAAGCGGTTGGCTTTAGCAGGAAATGAGGGATTTTTAAGAGAGCGATAAGGCGCACAAGGAGTCGATTATGTTGGAGGAGATTGTTGAATTGCACGATAAGTAAATGTACTATCACTAGAAAATGCATTAGTACTATTTTTACAAAGTTCTCGTAGATGATTCACACAGAGAATAAAGAGTGTTATTGGGCCGGGGGAGGGGACTGACTCTTCTTTAATAAAATCTTCTTTAATATTATTGATATTCTGTGATTTAGATAGAAATGACATCAGCGCAACCCCAACGATTTGGAACGAGCGCGCGCTGGATTGATTCGTTGAAAACAGATGTTATAGGATGAGCAACCCAATTTGAGATATCATCTCCAAAGGCGTTCTAGACAAAGTATTTTGACAATTTGACTTTCATAACAGATAGATATTTCATGGTTTTCTGCTATTTTGAAATGAACCTTGACCTGGTTTGGTTGACAAACAGCGAATTATGTTTCCACTCATTGATTCGTGTCACCAGAAGTGATTTTAATTGGCTGATAATGGGCTCGGTGTTTTGGCTAGTTGACAAGAGCAGAGGAGTTCACGTTATGCTCTACCATCTTCATAAAATTACACTTTGACCCGTACTAGTTTGTATCCATGCAAATAATAACAATATGCCGCTATTGATCAGGCCTGGCTATGACCTATACAGCAAAAGATCTTGCAGTTTTGTGCGTGTTCTGGACAATGCAAAACTGCTAAAACTAGAAATATGACATAATTAACAATTGTCAATGCTTAATTTTGATTTTTCTAATAATTTAGTAAAATTCAATTTTGACATTTAATCATTTATCTCAGCCTTAAATCTTACGCAAAGTCTGCAAATATTGATTTGAAAACTAGGATTGAATATCCTTTATTATTCAGTGGGCAAATTTTGAAGCCTGAATATTACGAAAGTCACCGAACTGTGGAATCGCATAAATTGGACCAATCCGGGTTTTGGTAACAATTACAATTTAACGTGGATTGTTTAAAATTAGATGCAAATATGCAAAAGTATGTAGGTTTGGTCATAAATGTTTGTGGGAGTGGCGGCGATACGAATTTTTGATGCGATTCCACATTTTTAGGTATGACTTTCGTAATATTTATAATAACGAGAAAAGATTTGTCAAATTATTCACCTGCCGAAATTTAATTATTTAATGTCTTTGCCTCATGCATGTGTATAATTATATACCTTGAAATTTAATATAGATTCGCGCACTTCTGGTAACGACCTTTTAGAACGTTTTATATAATACCGCACTGAATTCTGGTCATTTAATTGGCTAATTATGATCAAGTAATATAGAGTTAAAATGTCCAATCATTCAAAATCCTCTTCGCATCGTAATCGTATTTCATTTAACTGTACAGAGACCGATGGAAACAAATTCAAATACATAACTCGTGCGAAACAAAACGGTTATTGTAAAAATATGATATTTTTACGATAACGATATTGCCTTTATAAATTACGGCATTATCATATTTAATTATTCATTAAAACGTTTGTTGGCACTTTTTGTTAGATTTTAATTATTTTGACAGTATGTAATTGTTTTGTATTTAATTAACTTAAAAATCCGATAAAATTTATCTTAAGTTCTTTGAATGTTTGCATGGCGATAACATATTATTAGCACTGATGAAGATCCGGGCTTACGGATCGAAAGCTTTGCAGTAATAAATTTACGTGGTGTTTCCACAAACAAAAACAATTAAAATTTATCTTTTTTAGAATTTTAGTGTCATATAAATAAAATAAATAATAAATGTTTTCATTCGTGCAATGCATGGTAAACATATTTTCATGTGGTGAAAGTTGAAATTTTCCATTCGGCACTCGGCTGTCACCCGATCCTCGACTTTGTAAGCAAAATAACCTCAGGGGTCGGCTAAGTAATTGTTCGTGTCTGGTTGAAAATTGAGGAAAGTCGGCATTGAACAAATCGTGTACAGGTGTAGCACGACTAGAAACGGCATTAGTTTGTTAAGAGTCTGCAAACTTTGAAGGTAAGTAAAACAGCGTAAAATAATTGTACATAATAATATATGAAACGATCTACAAAAAGTAAACAATTTTTCAAATGCTACTAGAGTACGCCAAGAATTGTCCGTGTCGCTAAAATTCGGGTCTTTCTGCTGTGGTTGTATTTGATTTTCGAAATGTTATACTTACTGTATTCAGAATTAGCTGTCATATCTAAAAACATTTAAGGGCTGTTAAGATGTTTCCTATACCGAAAACTAATTTCCCAAACATCGAGACGCTTGGCTGAAAGCCGCAAATGTACGGTATATGGCTCGGTTGGTACGGTAATGTGGAGTATTTGCAATCTGCGCCGAGAGTTTTGAAAACGTTTCTAAAGTTTACAACAACCCAAATGTTAATATTGAAATACGCAAGCAATTCCATCATAAATGAAAGTCAGCATTATTTTATTTCTGTTTCTGAATATAACAATGTCATGTTGCACGGGAGCAATTTAATCTCCTCTATTATGCCCGGCCACTGCATAGGAGTTAAATCTCGATAATTTCACCCACCTTTTATCGTAGTGCTACACTTATACATTATAGTCTTGAATGTGAAAGTATAGTGCAACGCATTTTTTTTATTTTATTTAAAATCCGTCGCCATTAAGATAAGGTACAAATTTACAATATTATAAACAGTACGTATATATATTATGTTGGTTCATAGCTGGGGTTATCATCGCTGCTCCGTAGGATATAATTTCTACGTTACGTATTTAGTACCATGCACTGTTGGAATGGAAGGCCATTATCTGTGCATTAAATGAAAGTTAGGGTATCAGGGGGAAATATTTGGTCGGTAATTTCTAGTAATAGCGATCGGCCTATTGTCTTGCCGTAAGTCGTGTTTGGAATTCATAGAATTTCGACATATTATTGATGTTGCAACAAGATATGCTTGAATAACTGCATTATTATTCAGCTTAAGGTGAAATATGAGACCGTACTGATCAGAGGGTAAACGCGGGTGCCGGATAATGGATTGCGGATACAGGGAAACAATTCTTGCTGGTGGAGAATAGGTAAAAATTTTTATACTTCGTGCGTTGCATAATTCAATGAGCGAATATAATCTGAAAGTTATCGGTGACGGTAACAGTTTTAACTTTGCGTCACTCACAACAATTTCTCATTTACCTAATTTGCTTTTTTTTACTAACCATATGCAAATTAGGTACATGCATTAATTAAGCATGCGTGATAGGCATTGATGACAAAAGTGAAAGTTTCAGCAGCTCTTTGTATGACTTAAAATTGAGTAAATTTTCTGATATTTGGACCATTGATAAAACACATAACAAACTTCTCGTCCATGAACTAAAAATGCGTTTTAAACTTTTTAATTTCGCGCGCAAGCTGTTTTGAATGTTGCTGAAAAAGAGCCCCCTGCGCTAGAAAATTGATCTTTAGGAATATCAGTTTTGATTTATTCTAAATTATAACTACCCAAACAATCTATATTTATCAAAAAAATCGTGAAACGAACAGATTTGTGAAATTGAGAGCCGTTTCAAAATTGTCTATTTTTTATACACCCTGCATGTAGTACGATGCGTAGATGTTTCACTGTGAAGCGCAAGGCTATACATGAGCGTTCAGGCGTAAATGCAACTATACACATTTGAAGATAACAATTTCTCTTTCAGGTTGAAATCATGTTGGTAGAACTTTCAATCTTGCTATGTTGCCTTTATTGTGTTTGGTTTGTATATACAACGATGAAGGAGAGAAAGACCTTGCCTCCTGGGCCCTTTCCATTACCTTTAATTGGTAACGCTCACCAGGTTGGCAAAGATATGCCTTATTCAATGGAATATCTGCGAAAGAAATATGGCGACGTCTTTACCCTACGAGTTCCGTCTGGAAACTTCATAGTCGTGAACAGTGGCAAGGTTATGCATGAAATGCTTGTGAAAAGTAAAGATGATTTTGCTAACCGGCCAAGCGGTTCAAGATTAATTGCAAGAGATTTATTTAATAACAAGGCTATTCCGTTCGTCCCGTACGCTCCATTTTATCAATTTTGCCGTAAGGTGATAACATATGCACTTCATATGTACGGGGAGGGTGTTAAGACAGCGGAAAATCGAGTGCAACATGAAGTCACACAACTTTTGATCCATATGGAGGAAAGAAACGAAGATCCATTTTGTCCAAAGGAACTCCTCTCCCAGACAATTACTAATGTCACCACGTCATGGCTTCTTTCTCAAAGGTACGATTATGGTGATCCAATTTTCAAAACCTTAAGAACTTTTGTCGATAATGTGCTATACGTAAGCCACCAATGGACAAATATTGATTTCTTACCGTTTTACGAATATCTCCCGTTTGATATTCCGAGGAGATTCCGGCAAACAAAGCAAGTGCGTGACGAATATTTCGGGAAATATCTGGAGGAACATCGAAAAACGTACAAAGATGGGGTCGTGCGTGATATCGCTGATGCTCTTCTTGCTGCTTATGAAAAGGAGAAAGTGGACGGCAAAGGAAAAGATATTGGTACCAGCGATGATATAAAAACAATCATGATGGACTTCTTTATTGCTTCCAGTGATACAACTACTGCTACACTGAGCTGGTTGATACTGTATATGGTCTTACATCAGGAGGTAATGCATTCATGTATGTAATCGTGTTTTCTGGCTGAAAACTAACTAGTATACATGTGGTCATCTTGAAAACGATAAATATTTACATAATTGCTTGATCGACTTTTCGACTAGATTTTAGTCATCTTCAGCACTGATAATTTAGTATTACATTTCATAAATATATATTATAAACATTCAATTATTTATTATTTAGAGTGCCCCTGTGACGAAAAAGATCATCTCTGCAATTTAGACGATAGCTTTAAACATTACCTCGAAATGAGCTAGCACGGCGTTTTTGGTTTTTCAATATCTTGTTTCGTTCTCTAGATATTCAGCTTTTTAAAACATGCAAATTTGGTCTAAAGTGACGTCAATTACTCAATACTATTAAATCAGATATAGAAAACGATGAATATCTTTCTTCCTGACAAAAACAATTCATTCAAACTTTGTGCTAGTATAGCGAAGAGTGTTTCAAATCTCAAAATTTGTATTACGGCACTTTTCAATGAAACCATAAGCAACAAATGCGTTTTGCTCGTAGAACAAAAACGATTATTTCTACACTGCTAGACAAGGTTTAAACTAAAGCATACGACGGAACACTCGTACACACGAAAAATTAAAGTTTAAGTCGTCATTTGAATGGTCGTATTCTGCACAAATGGGGCGGAAAACACAATTAACATTTTTTAGTGAAGTAGTTATTTTTTGTATTGTTTCCACGGAAACAATGTATGTACACATTGAAATGTGTATGCACCACATAGCTATGCGCCTGTATTCCAAATGCTCACTCACACTCAAAGAGTGCAGGTTCTATCTGAACTTCTCTTCAGTGTCAATGCTGTTTTTGAATAGCTAGAGGGTGAGTAGTCACAAAGAGAGGTACGATACTAACCCTCCTGCTGTTCAAAAATATGTGACACTCAAGAGAAGCTCGGATCGAACTTCCACTCATTGAGTGTGAGTGTGAGTGAGCTTTTAGAATACGGGCGATAGTGCTGCAAAGATTGAGTGAATTTTACCCCTCACGAAGAAAGATATCCATCGTTTTATGAATCTAATTTAATATTCTGGAGTAAATGACGTCACTTTTGACCTAATGAGCATGTTTTAAAAAGCTGAATATCTTCAGAACGAAATAAGATATTGAAAAACCAAGGAGGCCGCGCTAGATTACAGTATTTCGAAGTAATGTTTAATTATAACTATAGGATCTAAATTGGGGAGATGAATTTTTCGTCACGGGGGCACATTAATTTTCTTTTAATAATGGTGTATTATAACTAAGTCATCTTGTATAGATATCCTCACTTTCAATTTCGTCACTTTCATATACAAATTGAATTGAAAAAATTTATCGTTCTATGATGTTTTATAGTTGATAACATTAGTCGGTGGTTCTCGCACTTGCAAACTATCTAGTGGTTCATATTAACAAGTACACGATTTAATTATATAATTTACTATAAAGTACTGGTAGGAGTGCTCACGATTGTTTTATATCTGATATAGGACAACTACAACTACTTTAAAAGACTTTTAAAAATAAACGTTGTCTAAGGTGGGAAATATTATGGCCATTGGCCATGTTAATTTGCATAAAATCCCCGACATATATAGCAGTGATTTCCATTCTCTTCTTTTTTAAATTTATAATTTCCTTAAAGAGTTTTTTATCTACTATTATCATGTGTTAATTTGTAAGAAATATTCTAAAAATATCCTGCTTACATACAGCTGCCAAAGAAGAGTTACAGCCACAATTGCTTGAACTAATTGCAACAACATTTCCATTATTTCTTCTTTGCTTTCATTGCAATGGTATACATGTCGCCCAAACTTTAAAATTTGATTAGGTACAGAGCATATTATATAATTAGGTATGCATTTCTTTTCTTCAAAGCTGCGTTCCTGGTAAAATCTTACATTCCATCCAATCATGTTTCACAGTGATCTACGGCTGCTAATTTGGTTTACTGCATTTGAATTTTATTATAATTGCATTAAAGGTTCAGAAAAGGGTTCATGAAGAGTTAGATAATGTAGTTGGAAGACATCGTACTCCGTCTTGGAAAGAAACAGATAATCTCCCATTTCTACAAGCAACCATTTGTGAAACAATTCGCCATGCATCGCCAGTTCCATTGCTAGGAAGAAAAACATTGCGTGGAACTAAGATTAAAGAATTCAAGATCCCTCAAGATACAAAGATTCTGCTAAATATGTGGCGAGTTAATAATGATCCGGCGGAGTGGAAGAACCCCATGGTCTTCGATCCCGATCGATTTCTTGATGAAAGTGGCAATTTCCGTGGTTGGAACACCTCGACCAGTTTCTACCCGTTTGGTGCCGGCATTCGTTCATGTCTTGGCCAATCACTGGCCAAGATGAATATGCTCGTCGTTGGTTCCAATATTCTGCATTATTTTCATTTTGATGTTCCTAATGGAGAGGAGAAACCATGTTTGGATTCTGAGCCTGGTGGTGTACGATACCCAAAGGATTTCTTACTTGTGGCAAGGAAACGAGAGTGAGTGAACGAGTGATTTTAAACATGATTTGTAATAGACCTTGTGGATAATGATGTCACAAGTTTGAAGCCCGCAAGGAATGCTTAATGCAAAAATTAAACAATTCAAAATGGCCTCTACAGAAATTTTTCCGGGCGATTACTACTAAGACCAGCATTCCTCACGGGCATCAAGCCTTGTGACGTCATTATGCATAAGGTCTATTGCGCCGGGTTGTTTCATAGTTGCATCTGTGACTCGTTGTTCAACTGTGCAGAGAACGTGAACCCAAATATCGTTGAGCTTATAAAGGAATAAATTTTGGTTAATAATTATATGTAGCTTTTAAAATGAAATAAATTGAAATAGAGAGCATGACAAATCTAGTTGCGCAACTAACAATCTTACTGTAACAACCAACTGACAAATATTGTACAGAGTGTTTTAAAATTATACAGAGAATACGGTAAGTGTACAGATATCAAGCAAAGGACTTTAATATCGAAATCAACAAGAATATCTGGTCTTTTGAAATACAAAACAAGTCAATGGCTCCAAGAGCCATGTTTTCTTCGTCACTTCGGCACGTTCGAACTGTTGTGTCTGTTGTCTTTTTCCACGATATGAAGGAAAATTCCTCAGAGTAACGACTGGTATTATTATTCATTATCTTTTGGGTTGACGTGCCGTTGCTCTTTTAGTTTTCCATCTCTCCGTAAATTTTCCCACATATTTAGACTACCTCACGACTGGGGGTGTTCCATCACCCCCACTCTCCTCTAGAGCCGACCCTAACACAAGAGAGACGAGACATCAAAACACACGTTGAGTCCTATACTTCAATTTGTATGCCATTTAATGATTGAAACGAACTCATAATTGCATAGACTGCGAGCAGTTACTCAAGAGAAAGGAGGAACTGCCCGCAACACATCAAGAAAGAAAATACGCGTTGTTCACACAATGCAAAATTCCCATTGGTCGAAATCGATATGCCTGTCCGTCAAATCTTCTATGTACTAATTATGCTATAGATAATTTCCAGACTTGAATATTCATTTTATAGATAAACATCTCAAGTTTTAATTAGTAGTTCCTAGTGCATTTTAATTGGATATATACTGGTTATGCAAAGGCGGAACTATCTTGACAAGGGCGAAAAGTGGGCGTATTTCTTCAGTTTCTTTTGCTGTGTTGTCTGCAGTCGGCATTTCGTAAACAATGGACTGGATTTTGGACTGGTTTGGACGGGCAAATTTGGACTGGACTTTGGACTACACTCTGGACTAAAATTTTCTTTTTACAGTTAGATTTTCGTATTAATGCCCATAATTATGGTTACATACAACGACAAGGAGTTCGATAAGTCCAATAGGGCAACTTGCGTCGCCTCTGAAAGATAATGCATGCTGCATATTAAATTACACATATTATACAAAATCTCGGGAAGACGGAAACTGCAAAGGCGAGATAGACCATCAGCTAAGGGTTTACCGAACAGGCAATCTGCGACTTTTCTAGCCTGCTGCCAAGCAGGCTACGACTTTCGTGCTCAGCTATAGCACTTCTTCGTGCATACAGTGTCTATCAAAATTGGTACCAGTTTTGCTGACGGACAAATGTCGATAATTACAAAAATATTTTGGGCCTCAATAATATCGAGAAAGTTTTCCTGAAAAACAGTTTAAGCATGCAGAATAAGTAAAAGACCTCTTTCTAAAACAAAATTGACTTCTACTTTTATTATAGTTCAAATTATTCAATCATGCGGAGCACGCTATTAAGGAAGAATCGTCAAACGTTGCTCGATGTTACCAATGTATTATATATAAAAAGCAGTGGCGTAGCCAGAACGATAATTGGGGGGGGGGGGGGCATATTAATATATTCGTGTTCACATACCATAAAAACAATTGATTTCAAAAGAAGTTAATAAAGCAGAACACGAATATATGAATATAGCCCCCCCTCCCCAATTATCGTTCTGGCTACGCCACTGATAAAAGGTATTTAACCACAATAGATTAGCGATGAAACGCGTTAGAAAATTACAATTAAAGGCCGTAGACTCTTAAGATTCAGTAATATCAACGAAAATGTGGATATAGAAAAAGTACTGTACACGTCTTGTTCATAAAAAGTAGAGAATCATATAATAGCACGCGTGTACGGGTTATTTTGGTAAAATATGCGTTATAGATTATATTACCAGAGAAGGAACGTTTTCGTATAAAATATCTAGGTATATTGGATGCAGTCTTTGTTTGAAAGACATAGGCTATAATACAAGAACATTCCCTTGACTTATTTGTTAAAATTACCCCCCAATGATATGCATCAGGTATGTTGATGCTTTCCTTTCCCCTGGTGTAAATAGCCAGGCCGAATTGGTACCCTCGCCCCGAGCTAACGCCCAGAACGGCGCTCCGCGCAGTTGGCTCGGGGATAATACATTATTGCACGCTTGCAGTATTTTGGTAAATCCATATCAAATATGCGTTATACATATGTATATGACATTACCGGAGAAAAATGTTTTGCGTATATATAGAATGTTTTGCTATTGCGTGAAGCTTTTGTTGAAAGACATACAACTCAAAAACATTCCCTGGACCTATTTGTTAAAATAACCCCCAATTATATATGCATCAGATGTTTGGAAATTTTGCCAAAATTGCACGAGCCGCCGGCGCGAGTCCAATTTGGCAAAATTTCCAAACATCACGAGTATATTATTAATCCCTAATTGTACGAGCAACATCGCATGATTACTTGTTTATTATTAGCATATGACAAAATTGGATACTTCTCCGTCAATATCGACATCTGTCGCCAAAGCCCAGTCCTGCCAGACTTTTAACCAAAATTTGGTACTTTTGTTCGTATTTTCATTTAGTTCTTTTGTTCAAGCAAACTTTGGTGCTTTTGTTCGTATTTTCATCATTGCATGTGATAGAATCTCAATCAAACTTCAACTTACAGGTAATTCTCGTTTAATTTTCCAATTCTATCTAATGATTGGCAGGTTGGTATCACATGAGACTTTAAAGTTTAACATCACCAGCAAAGTCGATGCAGAAAAAAGGAAGCAAGCATGGACAGCAACACAGGACTGGTAATAGAAACCAGCCTGGTTTATAACCATAATATATATTTAGACATTAAAATAACAAGTCACTACATAAAATGGAACTGTAACCAAATGTCACTGCATGTAAACAAAGCATTGAAATAAAAATTTTAGTAAGATATGAGTTACTGTATCTTCTGTGTTACCCAGTCTATTCCTCGGCTCAGCAGTGCATGGGTGAGGTCATCCTCTATTACAGGTTTGTTGTAAAACCTTCTGAATGTATTCTCAGAGGACCATACAGCTGCCTGTATAATTGACATAACAGGAACTGACTTGGCATTAGCTTTAGAACACGAAGCCGCTCGGGTGCTGTGAGGCTTAAACATGTTGGTATCGATGCCAGCTTCGTTAAGTACCATTTTCAACCAGCGTGATATTGTGTCCCGTGATACTGGCTTGAAAGGTTTCACATAACTCAACAGCAACTGAGTGTTATCTTATCGTACATTTACTGTCTGTTGCAGGTATACATTAAGGGTACTAATTGGACAAATGTCTGCATCTGGAGTGAAGCGTGAAAATTTCACACATGGTGCAGTATGTCCTGGTCGACTTGTCTTTATATGTTCTAGCAGTATAAATGTGCAAGAGCTTTCAGTGAGAGTCATTCTAGATATATCAAGCATATGAATAGACTGGCCCCGCTGAGCTGTTACTAATGACAACAGCATAACCAGCTTGAGAGTGAGTTCCTTTAATGAGATATGGTCATTTGGAGTAAGGGTTTTGATGTATCTGACTTTGAGTACTTTGTTAACATCCCATACGGAAGTGTACTTTGGTACTGGCTTTCTGTTTAAAAACACTCCCTTCAAGTATCTAGATACCACAGGGTGTGTACCAAGTGTCTTTGATCCATCAATAGTAATGACCGCAGTTGATAAAGCTGATCGTGCTGTGTTAACTAAGATCATTGTCATAGAGTGTTTGCAAGAATTGTAATGCAACACTTAGACCTGGTTTATATGGATTAGTCTGTCTTTGATGACAAAAGTCATGACAAAGTCTGGTTCGCCATGAGGCCATGAGCACTTTGGTAACTTGCTCTGGTAACTGGAGGTGTGAGAAGGATTCCTTGATACAGGACATACTATCAACTTCAACTTCGGAATTGGGTGAGTCTTGTAATGTGGGTGACTCAGAATCTTGTCTGGATGCTGGTTGAAGACCCATAGTTGGCTGTATAGTAATTGCACTAGGGGTGTGAACCACGTTTGGGTTGGCCAAAGTGGTGCCACTATAATTCCTGTGGCTTGGTCCATCTGGATTTTTTTAATGCAACGCTGGATCACATTAAAAGGTGGGAATGTGTAAAAATTTAGTTTCCCCCAATCTATGGTGAATGCATCAATGTAGGTACAAAGGGGGTCTGGTTCCCAAGATGCATAGGTTGCAAGTTGGTAATTTAGTCGACTTGCAAACAAGTCAACATTAAGCTCTGGGTAATTATGTAGTATCTGCTGAAATACTGATTTGTTCAGCTTCCATTCATGTTCATCTTGAAACCTCCTATAGCGCTTATCGGCTAAAACATTATGTACCCCAGGAATATGGGCTGCAGTTACCCAGATATTCTGGGTTATGCACCAATCCCACAATTCATAGGCAATCTGAGTTAATTCCTCAGATTGTGATCCCCCCATATGGTTAATGTAAGCTATCACTGTTGTGTTATCTAATTCCAACTTCACATGGGTAAAATGCTTTGAGTCCAAATAGGGCAGCTCTGAGCTCCGGCACATTAATGTGCTGTTGTTGTTCAACAGTTGACCACCGGCCACCTGTACTTTGCCCAGATAAAGCTGCGCCCCAGCCCGCTGTAGATGCATCTGACTGGATTGTAAATAAGGGTTTTTCGTGAGTTATATGCTTATGGGAAAATGCAATGTTGTCTATCCACCATTGCAACTCACTACGGGATCTCCAAGATAGTTGTACCCGTCCCTGGTAGCTTCCTTTGGAGGCAGAAAGTGCTTGAACTTTATCTTTCTCTAAATGTCGATAATGTAATGGTCCAAATTCCACACATGGAAAGTTGGCTACTAGTACACCAATAACCTCAGCTAAGTCTTGTATAGTAGAGGTTTGTTTGTTAAGGAGTGCTAAGCAGCATTGCTTAGTTTTGATAATTTTATCTTGGGTTGGTGTAACTGTCATAGCTAATGAATTCAATGTAAATCCCAAGAACACAATTATTTGTGTGGGGTGAAAAATAGATTTTTCCAAGTGTGGAGTGAACCCTACATGTTCCACAAGGTCTTTAGTTGCCTTAACATTGCTATCACATTCGGTTATGGACTCCCCTAGTAGGAGAGAGTCGTTAATGTAACCGAGGTTTGTATGCCCTTGCTCACGAAGTGTAGCATACACAGGCTTCTTAAGTTTTGTAAACAGGCGAGGAGCACTTGAAAGGCCATTAAGCAAGCAGGTGTATTGATATAATATACCATTAAATTTAAACTTTAAATACTTTTGAAAATCATGATCGACTGGGACACTATAGCCGGGCCTTTTTTAAGGATTTTCCCGTGGGGGGGGGGGCATTTTTTGAAAAGGGACCTTTCTGTGAGATAATATATTACAGGTAGATAGCAATAGCTGAAGGCCACGTACCGTGTGACCAACATACCATGCACACATGAATGGGGGGTCCGGGGGTGTACTTCCCCAGAAAATTTTTGAAATTTGAAGCACGGAAATGCCATTTCCTGCATTCTGAGCAACCCAATTTGCTCCAAAATGTATGCTAACTATACTTGTATTTGAAATAAATGAAGGAAAAAACCAACAAAATGTAAAAAAAATATTAACCATAATTTATCATTACTTATTAGAGGATACCAATGGTCACGTGCGTAGGGGTGTACTCCCCCAGAAAAATTTTGAAATTTGAAACGCGGAAATGCCATTTTCTGCATTCTGAGCATCCAAATTTGCTCTAAAATTTATGCTAACTATACTTGTATTTGAAATAAAAGAAGGAAAAAAGGCACAAAAAGTAAAAAAGAATATTAACCGTAATTTATCATTATACCTATTAGAGGGGGATACCAATGGCCGAAGGCCACGTGTGTGGGGGCATAATCTCCAGAAAATTTTTCAAATTTGAAACCGGGAAATGCTCTTTCCTGCATTCTGAGCATCCAAAAAAGAACAAATTATTAACAATAATTTATCATTACTTAGTGATAGAAAAAAGTAACAATTTAAATCGATTTTGTTAAACAAGGACAAAGGATAAAGTCTAAAACTTACTTTCCGTTTATTTATTTGTTATTCTTCGCTGTTTGGTTGGTATAAATTTAGAAAAAAGGGACTTTTCCTGGGGGGGGGGGCAAAATGTGATTTTGTGGGGGGACTGGGGGGTATTTGTATGTTAAAAAAGCTTGTATGTTAAAAAAGGCCCTGCACTATAGTAAGCATCTTTCAAGTCAATGCATGCCATGAAACAGTCAGGTTTCATGGTTCAGTAGCAGCTTGTAAACTATCCATTTTAAAATGGCGGTAAACAATAAATTCATTTAACTGTTTTAAGTTAAGAATCATTCTATAAGTGCCATCCTTTTTTCGAAGGAAGATATTTGATATGAATTTGTCTGGCTCGTGTGAGGAACCAACAATCACACCCTTATCTAGCAGTTTCTCTACTTCGTCTCGTACGGGAGCTGCTTCTTTGCCATTAAATGTTTGGCAAGGTGCGTGTTTATAAACTGGTTTTTCACTAAATTCCAGTTTAACACCTGTCACAATGTCAATAATATTATGATCTTTTGTAAGCTGTTTCCAGTTATGCAAATTTTGCTTAACATTACCAGCTTTAAATGACGAGTAAGGTTTATCATAACTACTTACCGTACTCGCTTGCAAAGCTAGGTCTGTTTCTGATTGTTGTTGTATTGTTTCCTTCTGTCCTTTTTCCCTCGGCCCCACCGAAAATCCCACTCATTTCGTGTTTTGTTGTATGGAGTCTATTGCCTTTTAGGGGGATATCTTTGGTGGGTATTGGAGTAGTATGTACTTGGTCGCTCTCGTTTGACCTTTTTAGCAACTTTGTTCGCCTCTTGGATGTCTTTAGTTAGTTTTGTTAGGTCGCCAAATAGCTCATCCGAGGCAGGTGTGCTGGCATTGCATAGCGCAGCATAATCGTCATGAAGTTCCCTCTTCATGTGAAATCGCCTGAGTGCATTCAGGTCGTGATGGCATTGTAATGCTAATGCTATGGCGTCCGTAGTGCTGGTAATAATCGTCTTGTCTAAGTTTTTCTCGAGAAGCCAGATCAGCGACACGCAACATGGCCGCCACGCAAGCTAGCAGAGTTGTCTGTGTACTCTGCTGTTTCGAATCGTACGTTTTCACAATCATGGCGAGCTGTTGCCAAATTAATTGGTTAACTCGAGGGTTTTTTAGCCCGTTGACATTGTCAGGCCGCGGATAAAGATCCACTTTCGCCTGCAGTTTTGTGTCAGGGAGTTTTTCCGCCAATAAAGAATCCACAATGGCGTCGAGCTCGTCGTTGACAGCCTTGCCAGTTTGTTCTTTAACTTGTATGTCGAGTGCAATTTCGCCCAACAAGCCTCCAATGTCTATATTATCTGCAGCTGAGGTTTGTTCTCTCCTGGCAATTAAAGATTGGATACGAGTATCAACAGAAGGGGTAGGATTATCCTTCTCCTGACTGTCATCTGACTCTAACACGCGTTCTTCCTCGGACGTGTTGAGCACGCTTTCGTCAGAACTAGCGTGACGCTTGCGTTTGCTCTTTGATGTTTTGAGCCGAGCCAGATCATGTTTCATAGATGCCATCTCGGCACCTAATTGTTGGATTGCATCCAACACAGCCAACTGATTTTCATCGTTCAGCTTGGGATTTTCGTCTGTTTCTAAACACTCGCCGTCCTCGACAGCAGTGTCTGCTGGGTGGCTAACTGAATTTTCTCGTGGCTGACGGATATTTTCAACCTCAGAAGGCCCTTGACAAGTAGCCATTATGTTTTTGTACTTTGAAATGACGAACTACGTTCTGTCACAAGTACTAGTTGTATTAATAAGTATTCAAAGTACTATATCTAAGTCTGTTTTTTTGGTGAAAAGAGTGGGAAGACAAAATAGACGTCTTCCCTCGTTGGTCGCAAACCGTGCAGTGATTTGGCGCAAGCGCAGTGCTATCTCATGTGATACCAACCTGCCAATCATGTGATAGAATGTTAATCTGAGTCAAATATAACCGCTTGACGTCTTTTTCTGGCAGCTGAATTATCCATGTTCACCGTCTGGTTTCCAATATTAAAAACACAGTTGTTGTAGGCAATATTAACGGGAGCTAGCGATGAAAAAACTGGGTTTTTGGAAGACACAAGTGGGTCATCGTGGTCAACACTGGGGGCAATACTCAACAAACCTTCTTGGCGAAGGATAGCGTTGGATGCAGATGCAATTTGCTGTCTGACCGTTGTACGGGGACAATTGATGTATCGTGTTCGGTTGGTCTAGGAGCTTGTTCGCGAAGCTGACGCACTGTAACCACTGATGATATGAGACAGTTCTCTGCGTTCTTCCTCGCTGATTACGTCGTAATCATTTAGAGATGCCTCTGATGCATGACCGGTAATTTCCTTGATCTTATAGCGTGGTTGTCCAGCACATTTCAGCTTTTGAACAACTGTTTTTCTCGTGCTGTGATTTGTCAACTTTTTCGCTGTTGAGATCTCGAGCGACGAAGTATTCTTGGCATTATTTTGCCAATTGTGTTCTGGCCCATTCGTACCTTGGTATACCAAACATGGTAATTTTTTGGACGTTGGATTACTGTCAGATACAGAGGGCCTTGATTTCGCATCGGCTGACGGCGTTTGGAGAGCCATAACTTGAAATGCTTTACAGGGTCTCGAGGGCCGCCATCAGTGCTCCACATAACTTGCTTCGAGGTTCTTTTTGCGACTCGAAGGCCTCCGTTTCGTGTTTTGGTGGGATTTTCATTGAATACAATAGATTCCGAGCCATCGTCGTGGTTACGAAAGATGAAATCTTCCACATATGCGTCGTAGTGGTCCTGTCGTCCTCGCAAACCCATTTGCTCCAGAAGACACTTGAAATTGGCATTTGTCAACGCGACTGGCGAATGATTTCCGAATGAACCGTCTTACCACAGCAATTCCTCTTCGCTTTGGTTTAATGATTCTGCTTTGTTGGGACGTTTAGCCATGCCTTGCTGTCGGAGACGTGCTGCTTTAGCGTTGAGTGTCTTCATAGACTGATGAAATTGACTTGAAGAAATGATCCTTTCGCCATAATCTTTGTCACGTAAGTAGCGAACAATTGCAGCTTGCATCACGCGGAGGCTTTCTGGCTCGTAGTCCACTCCATTCACCTTTTTAACCTCCCATAAAATTCGCTGAGAAGCTTATCCAATTGTTCATAAGGAAAAAGTTCAATTGGCTGACTTTTTCCTCTAGCTGAACACCAATTTAACCAGATATTCATCCAGGTTTTTGTTGACCGCTCCGTGTTTACTTTCACGTTTGAGTTTTTAATGTCCTCAATGTCGTTTTCGCTTAAATTAGGGAACCTGGTTGTGTCTGGTTCGGTGTCTTCTGCTGGAAGAACAGGTTGGTAATTTTCGTCAGAAAATATATCGCTTAAAATGTCAAAATTTTCAAAATTTGTGAATCCACCAATTTGATTTTTTTACAGATAGTCTAGGACCTGTATATGAGTTTGTATGCGTTTCATTTAGCACAGGTAATCTCAACTGTTTTAGGGTAAAATGACCATGGCGGTCAACATGGCATATGTGCCAAAATCTGAATCCGGGACGAAAGTCCTGAAAATGACCCCGCCTTGAAACGGCAGTGTCGACATAGCTCTAACTTCAGAAAACAAAAAGCGATAGTCTTTCTGAAGTGCTTATAGTGTTTGGAAGGGTTGCTTTTAGGGGTGGTTATTGGAAGAAAAATTTGTCCAAGTATAATATTTTACAAGAAAATGACCATGCACCACCCTAGGTAAATTGCTGATCATGCATAAAATAACTAATATGCCTGGCAGAAATGAAATATTCTTATGTCCTAAAAAAAATTATCATGGGGTTAAAAACTATGCTTAATTTAATGTAAATATTGTTGATTTCATAAGGATTGTCATTGTTTTCTTTAAATATAATAAATTTTATTTCACTTACCCCCCACGAAAACGCGATTTCAGCCATATTTTGCTGTCTTGTTTGCTTTTTATCGCCGAATCACGCAAATATCATCCAGTTATTGTACTTTTACATAATCATAAATGGCTGAAGAAGATTTCAAAGAAGGTTTCATCCACTTTTGAAACAGTGCAGTGTATTTTATCTTCGATAATGTGTCCTTCGATATCTCGTCAAATTGCCGCCATTTTAATGGCTCGCCGCTTCTCTGCCCGATAAATGCCACTTCTTCGTTTTCATATGTATTTAGATTACATTATCCAAGAGTACTTCATTGTAAAATAGTCCCAATCTAAAAATTGGAAATATTATTTGTACTTGGGAGGAAAAAACCTCCCAGTACAATTGTCCTGTTAGAATTCAAAAGAAATAATTTAAAAGTCACGCGCAAGTTCGCGAAAACACCTCGTGGGTTACATAACAGGGGGGGTGAATATTTTCACGAAACGTTTGTTCGCCACCACAGGCCACAGCAACCTAAGTTAGGTACATTATATTTATTGTATATTTGTGATTTTTGATAAAAACAATAAATATTTGTGTATATTTATCATCAATTATAAAAATACAAAAAATATAATACATTTAGTTAGGTTGCTGTGGTGGCAAACAAACGTTTCGTGAAAATATTCACCCCCCCTGTTATGTAACCCACGA